TTTAAGCGGTTGCCAGAATTAGAGCAAGAAAACTGTATCCTGCTTTCTGTAAGGTGGAAGTTTATGGTTTTCTCCAGACGAGCTGCGTGCCGCATTTTCAGTGATCAGACGTCTGTCGCGATCAATGCGCAGCAATGCGCTTGACAGATCCAGTCCTCGAGGATTATGCTAGGTGGCTCCAGGAAATCTCGCACGCGCGATGATTTTTGTTTGTCCAAAATGTTTGGAGCCAGCCCCAATTCCAGGAGGCTTAAAGATTCCAGAAGAAAGCTACAATTTTTGTTTCTGTTCTGACGATGATTTGTTTATTTATTTTTCTTTCTGTTTTCCTGTTCGTATTCTTTCTTTTAGATCTCTCAACAGATTCGTTCTTTCTCATTCTTGTCCAGATTAAAACGGGTGTGCCAAAGGATGGCTATGTCGAGTTTCAAGTTCACAACAGCCATACCACATCTCGTTGCAGTCGCCTTCTGTTAAGGTGAGCTCCATACTGTTGTTAAAGGAATGTCCTGATCACGGCAGCGTCAACACATGAAAGGTGAAAGATGCTCAGCAAGACTTTGACATTTTCTAAGTATGTTCGCACATTTCGTGTTCCACTGGGTTGACGGCAAGCCATGTCGGCGAGTAGCGGCGACACGTCAGAACTCGGCCGCTCGCCTCCAAGAATGATGATCGCTCTTGTTAGCGCAGCAGCATCGCCGCTGTTGCCATGGCGTCAGGTGCTTGACGTTATTCTCCTCTGGCTTTCGATAGATCAAGGTGTAGTTTACTTGATTCCATGCCAGGACAACTGCTCGTCTCTTCAGCTCTCTTGAGCCTGTCAGCTGGAAAGAAACCAAGGATTTCATTGGAAACTCCTACGGCTCCACAGCGTCACCATCGAGATATAGCCATACGACAGACAAAAGTTTGAGACGCTCCATCCTTGAGTGCTTTGACAATGCTCTCGCTCGACTCCTCTTTTGCAAAGAAATGAGAGTGACGGTGCCCCGCGCTTGCAGCAAAGACAGAATGCATGCCTTTATGAGCAAGACGTCCCGCCCCAGAGCCTGAGCGATGCCATAGCTCTAGGGGATTTTCTCTCCCTCTTTCGGGCATTTGCTGTCATGTGACACCACAAGGATTTCTTGAGGCTTTCTCTCCGCTTCACTCCACTGCGCCGGTTTAGGCTAAGGCATGAGGAAGGGGGCTGAATGAACTCGAAGCTCTGTCATCGCAGCGAGTGACCTGGAAGGGGATTTTGCAAGGGCGTCTTGGCTGTATGGCAAAATGCCCCAGTACAGCGAAAGCCTTTTGGCATTTGCAACCCATAGCTAAGATCACGTCCCGGGTCTCCATGGTGGTGGATGAAGGCACGCTGAGGGTCTTGGGGGTCAATGTTTCGATTTGTTTCGCAAGAGTGTGTCGATCCCACAGCTGTTCCCCCACATGGGTATGTGCTTCAGGCAGGGTTAGCAAAGGAAAATGACATCTGTCACGGATTGATACATGAAGAATTTTTAAAAATTGTTGAAATATACATCTGCCACAATATTAAGCACATCTTGCATGCTTAAATGAGAAGAACACATCCTCATTAAACGAGTTTACTCACATTTTGAGTTTAGCAGGCTTCAAGAGCATAAATGGCACATGGCATGAACGATAAATCCACTATTGATCCATTGTGGATATGGCATTGGTGTATCAAGCTCAAACAGCCTGCTCTCGGCGCACACCACCGAGTCTATTTTGATCACTCCTACATGCGCTGGGCCCATGCAGCATCTGATTGCCGACCCATCAGATTACAGCTTACCCGTGCTAAGCTTCAAGCGCAACTTAACAGCCGAGAATTTGAAGTCCGTACACATGATCGAGGCAGCTGAAGTGACCGGGCAATTGAAGAAGATGGAAAGCCTCCAGATTCGCGATCAAGCTGTGATGAAGATTTTGCGGAGAGAAGGAATTGATATCTTCTGGCGAGGAAGATCTAACACAGATGAGGAATTCTACACGCCGGGCCGCACCACGGCCGCAGCGGTCATCTGTCTCAGAGATTGATGTCTGCCGGCTACACTTGACTTCTTCTCGCAGGCGTTGAGGATGGCCAGGCCCCCTGGATGGACAATCGACCGTAGTCCACCGCCTCCACACGCCCCGAGCGCTTGAGCAGTACTTGGATGAATCCCTTCGCCTCTCGCCATCTTGATTACAGGCACCATCGCCAAACAGCCAAGGACGCTGTGGATTTGGAGGACGCCAGCCAATTATTGAAGCAATCTGTGGAGAACTTCATGGTCCTCGTATAACAAATCTATCCAAATCCTGGTGGCCGCATGTAACAAGGTGGCCGCTTCTTCGCCTCGTCCAGCATCCGCCCCTGGTGCTCCACCAGCCTCGTCACAACCGGGAGCTGCGACACAGCCAGCGGGAGCCAACTGGGATCCCTGGGAGCGCCAGCCTCCACCACCTTTCGTGCACGCTCCAGGGCGTCCTTGGCTATGGAATAGCTATCGGCGTCTAGCTCGTTACTGGGCACGAAATCATACTCTCGTTTGCTCCCCGACACGCATTTTGCGAGACTCTTGAAGCCGTAATCTGACATCCCACACTCGCAATGCAGATCGGAATCCATGGCCACCCTGCGCACACCGTCCCTCCAATCTCTGAAGCCTGTCAAGCTCGTCTCGCTCACGGCAAATACATCCCTTTCGGCAGCACACGCCAGCCTCTGCGCAAACTCCATCGCCGGCCACAGATCCTCGGTTGGCAGACGATCCCACTCGTCCAGCAGCGGGGTGAGGCGCGCCACCCATTCCTTGCCCGGCGCCGGGCCTGGGTAGTCGAAGTATGGATCGCCCTCCCCGATGAAGAAGTTCTCCAAGAAGAGAATCGGGTAATTGAAGACGTGGGCGTCGCTGCCATCTGCGACACGGGCGAAGCGCTGGTAGAAGGAGAAGTCGAGGATCATATCCATGTGGTACTGGACGCGGAAAGAGAGACGCTCCATGAGCAGGCCGACGAGGGATTTGTAGCAATCGTAATCGTCATCGCTTGGCTGTGCGACGCTATAATGTCTCCTCACCCGGACTGGACGACTCCTCCTCGCCAACGCCGCCATACCAGCCGCCAATCTAGCCACCATTGTACTACTAATCTTTTAGGGCGGAAGCAAGTTTTGGAATTTTAGTTTACAGGTGCTATCATTGGTTTTCTCCGGATACAAAGTTAAGCACTTGCCTCAAATGGGCAACTGTTTGAGGCATTAGTTTTCCTTGCTAAATTCTTTGGCTTGGTACGAAATGTTGATCCCGACCCTTTGGAGGCTGCCTCGTTGGCGCTGAGAGCAGCGGTCGAAGGTTGCGTTGATAGATTTTGGACTCGTTAACTCTCTCGGGATCAGCAGAGTATATTATATATGATTGCGCATGATCTGGTTGTCAGAAGTCGGCATGCTGAAAGTTTCACCTCACCTCTAGCTTTTGCCTTGCTGAATTTCGCCACAAACCTGCTCCACCCACCATGGCACGAGTTTGTACTGAGCCTGAGCGGCTTTGTAGACAGATACGAAAATACAATGCTCTATGCAAGATTTATGATACAGCTTGTATAGAAAGGGTGTACAAAAGTTATGGTCATTCACTTGTGTGCTGTCCGAGCCTGAAAACGAAGAAGTGTTCCTCTCAATCTGTCTTTCTCCGCAATATATTACGAACGAAAGAAAAGCGGGAAGAGAGGCTTGAACCCGAAATCCCACACCCCACACTCCCACTGCAGATTAGAATCCATGGCCACCTGCGCACACCGTCCCTCCACTCTGTGAAGCTTGTCGAGCTCGTCTCGCTCGCGGCAAATACGTCCCTCTGCACATGCCAACCTCCGCGCAAACTCCATCGCCGGCCACAGCTCCTCCGTCGGCAGATCGTCCCACTCGTCCAGCAGCGGGGAGAGGCGCGGCATCCATATCCTTGCCCGGCGCCGGACCCGGGTAGTCGAAGTATGGATCGGCCTCCCTAATGAAGAAGTTCTCCCAAAAGAGATTCGGTATGAAGTAGTAGACGCTGCCAGTCGGGACACCAGTAGAGGAGATCAAGCTCAGACGTCGAGGATTATGTCAATGTGGTATTCGACGCGTCGCTCCAGGAGCAGGCCGACGAGGGATTTGTAGCATCTGTAGTTCCCAGCTTGGCTCAGCGACGCTGTAATACGGTCAGATCCCTTCTCGCCAGTGCCGCCAAATAGGGATTAGGGATCTGAATATTCGCCCAAACTTTTAAACTAGAGGTTTGGGGTAACATGATAAATCACAAATTGAAGTCTACATTCTTGTCATTGCATGTATCCCGATGTATCTCGAGCTTAGTCCCGAGAAAAAAGAGGCTGGGAGCCAAACGCAAGCATCCATGGGACCGAGAGAAGAGGAAGGTTATGACTATTTTGAAGTTGGCGCCTAGCCTGAATATGCTATATTGGGTTCCGGCTCAAAAGAGGTGAGTCTTCGTTTCTAGAAGCAGTTTCGGGGATATAAGGGAACCACAAAATCTTCACACTTGTCAAGAGTAAAACATGCACCATTTCTCTAGGTAGCCACCTCCGCTGCAGGAACAATGAAAGCTGGCAAAAGTGAGGAAACACGGACCTGCAAAGTCATCATTGTTGGCCACCATTCTAGAGCGATGAAGTCTACCAAATACTTTGAGGGACCGTACCCGCTTCACCTCTTTTTCTTTGGTGAATTTCGCCACAACCATTACTGTACGAGGTTGTGCCGGTCGCACAAGATCAAACATCGAAAAAGGTTATGTGGGGAAACCATTGCTTACAAATGCCGACAAGTAGTTCCCTCGATGAAACTATCATTTGAGTTCGAAATTTGGACTTTGTCCAAGGATCACTTTGGCTGAGTTCCTCAATCGCCTATTTGAATTCCTGTGGCTATAGGTGCATGCTTGAAATGGGAGGATACGTGGTTTGTCATATTTAGTTACGATATATGCATCACTTCAATGCTCACGTTGAGAAAGTTTGCCTTATCATTTGAGAGAATGAGATCCATGGTGATTACTGGATTGTCCATCTCGGGTTTGATTGCCAAATGGTTGAGAGCTTTGGAAAATCTTCACACCTGTCCACGTAGCCACCTCTGCTGCAGGAACAACGAAAGCTGGTAAAAGTGAGGAAACACAGACCTGCAAAGTCAGCATTGTTGCTTTCATCCACATCCAAAGTTCCATCAAGTTTCACTTGATACTTTGAGGGACTGTTGCCACTGAAAGCTTCACCTCTTTTGTTTAGGTGAATTTCGCCACAACCATTGCTGCTCCGCCCAGCACGAGTTTCTGTCAGCCTGTGATTGTATTCCTGCGCACACAAAAACACATGAGAACTTCTGAGCAAGCAAGTTAACGCGAACCTATAGAGTTTGGACTCCCTTACTTGTTAACTTTGGTAATCGATCGTGCAGCGGCGCAGCAGATGATCTTGTTGCATCCTTGGACCGCTGCTTCCAGCGTCTCCGGCCCTCCCAAATCGCCCACCGAGCGAGGTAGAATCTCCAGCGTTTCGTACTGACAAAATTAGTTTCACAAAATTTAGCAAGAGGAAACAAAATGCCTCGAGCACTTGCCCGGTAGAGGCAATGCTGAGAGAAGAAGAGAGTTTACCTTAAGTTTGTATCCTCGCAGCTGGAGCTTCCGAATGAAAACCCGGCCAACCAGTAGTGTTATAAACTCGGGGTTTGGGATGGTAGCGGGCAGCCGACGAGCACATTGTCAGCCCATTGACGCTGTTCTCCTCTGGCTTTCGATAGATCAAGCTGTAGTTTACCTGATTCGACAACTCGTCATCATCTCTTCAGCTGATCGTGAGCTCTCTTGCCTCTCCACTGTTAGTTGCTTGCGTAAATGCCACATCTTTGTAATTAGAAACTCCGACGGCCTTTTCTTTTGCTACTGGAGAATCTCTACGATTGGCAACTCTAGCCAAGAGTCCAAGACGGTGGTGATCCCGGCGCAACGAAGAGAATGTACGCGAGCACGGCAGCCTGAGCGCCTCCTTGCATGATGCCATCGATCGCTAAACCCTAGGGGATTTTCTCTCCCTCTTTCGGGCATTTGCAGTCATGCGACACTACAGGGATTGCTGGAGGCTTTTACTCTTCTTCGCTCCACTGCGACGCTTCAGGCTGTCATTGCCTAGGCGTGACGAAGGGGGAAAGGATCAGAAACTCAACCGGATGCCTTCTGGAAGTTTTGCTTCTTGGAGCTCTGTCATTGCCGCACATGATCTGGAAGGGCATCTGACATGGGCATCTTGGTTGTATGGCAAACTACCCCAGTACAGCAAAAGCCTTTTGGCGTTAGCGTCTCAGGAGAAACCCATAGCTAATAACACGTTCCGGGTCTCCATGGTGGTGGATGCAAGCACGCTGAGGGTCTTGAGTCCACAAAACTGGAAGTTTCGATTCGTTTCCAAAGAGAGTGTTGATCCCACAGCAGTTCCTCCGCCTGGGTATGTGCTGCAAGCCGAGTTAGCAGAGAAGAATGACATATGTCGTGGTGCTTTGATCGTGATGCATGAGGAGTTTTTGAAAGTTGCGGATATATACATCATTCACAACATGAAGCACATTCTACATCTTCAAATGGGGAGAACACATCTTCGTCCAAATGCCACAGATGTGGATTCACAGTTTGTTCACATTTTTGCTTTAGCAGGCCTGGAGAACATATATGCTATCAAAGACGAGCACGACAGATGCACTATCGATCCTTTGTGGATCTGGCCTGCCACTCAAGGGCAGGCTGTGGATACAGCAAGGGCATTGTTTTATCAAGCCAGATTGGCCTGCTTTCCAGAGCTCTCGGCGCAAGCTATCCGAGTCTATCTTGATCACCACTACATGCGCTGGGTCAGGAACAGGAAAGTTCACTATGTACAGAACTTGGTTGCCCGTCCATCAGGTTACAGGTTTCCGGAGCCAAGCTTCAAGCGCAACTTGACAGCCGAGGATTTGCGATCTGTACACATGATCGAGGTAGCTGAAGCAACGCACCAACTCGAGGAGATGGGGAGCGTCGAGGTCCGCCACGCTGTGATGAAGATTTTGCAGAGAAAAGGAATTCTAGATATCTCCCGCCAGCAAGGAAAGACGAGAAATTCTAAATCAACAAGGAACAGCCAACGCAAGCAGGCACCACAGCCGCCGCGGCGTTCACCTGTCGCATTGAATGTGCCGTAGTCCTGCCGGCTACACTTGGCTTCTTCTCTCTCTCAGGACTTCGGTCAGCCGGGACGAAGCACCGCTCACTAGCTCGGCCGTCGCCAAACAGCTAACCACGTCGTAAGGACGCTGTAGATTTGGCCCGGACAAGAAATCTGTGGCTCAGGACTTCATGGTCCTCATCTAACAAATCGATCGGAACCTGGTGGCCGCTTCTTCGCCTCGTCCAGCATCCGCCCCTGGTGCTCCACCAGCCTCGTCACAACCGGGAGCTGCGACACAGCCAGCGGGAGCCAACGCGGATCCATGGGAGCGCCGGCCTCCACCACCTTTTGTGCTCGCTCCAGGGCGTCCTTGGCAATGGAATAGCTCTTGGCGTCTAGCTCGTCACTGGGCACGAAATCGTACTCTCGTTTGCTCCCCGACACGCATTTTGAAAGACTCTTGAAGCCGAAATCCCACACCCCACACTCCCACTGCAGATTGGAATCCATGGCCACCCTGCGCACACCGTCCCTCCAATCTTTGAAGCTTGTCAAGCTCGTCTCGCTCGCGGCAAACACGTCCCTCTCGGCAGCACACGCCAGCCTCTGCGCAAACTCGATCGCCGGCCACAGCTCCTCCGTTGGCAGACGATCCCACTCGTCCAGCAGCGGGGTGAGGCGCGCCACCCATTCCTTGCCCGGCGCCGGGCCTGGGTAGTCGAAGTATGGATCGCCCTCCCCGATGAAGAAGTTCTCCATGAAGAGAATCGGGTAATTGAAGACGCGAATCCGCTGATTGAGGAGTTGCATATCGCTGCCATCCACGACACGGACGAATCGCTGGTAGAAGGAGAAGTCGAGGATCATGTCCATGTGGTATTCCACGCGGAAAGAGAGACGCTCCATGAGCAGGCCGACGAGGGATTTGTAGCATCTGTAGTCCTTCCAGCTTGGCTGTGCAACGCTGTGATATTTCCTCACCCGGACAGGACGACTCCCTCTTGCCAATCCAGCTGCCATAGCCGCCAATCCAGCCGCCATTGCTACCCCAATGCAATCTTTTAGGGCAGAAGCGCGGATATAATGTTGGGTTTATTTGAAAATTTCTCTGTTCGGCGCCCCAATCTGCGAATTTACCATCCCAAACGCCGAGCTGCAACGCCGCTGGTCGTAGGCGCTACCAGTCGGGTTCGCCCGGTTCTTGACACAACCACAGGAATATTCCGAGATCATTCCATGGCCTATGGGATTTAAGCCAGTAGGTGTTGGAGTATTCTTTTGGGATGGCAGAAGAGTAGGATATAAATCCTGATAAAGAGTATAATGTTAGTGATGATAGCCATAATGAGGAGGTAAAATCTCTTGATGATGTCATTGTGTGGCAAAGTTGCTAAAATTTTTAATAAGCATAGACTTGAATCAATCTTGTGTTCATGATTACTATTGGTTGATTAGTCTCATAACCTTTTTGAGGGTAAGGAAAATTATTAGTCTCATAACCTTTTTGAGGGTAGGGTGACAATTGATTTTTATCCAGTTAAACCCAAAGAGGCTAATATTATTCAAAACCAAAAAAATCACTCAAACCAATATTAGGACATTAATATCTTTAACTGATTGGAAAAAGAGTGCACTTTTGTTTATATACCCTTTCCCTTTATATTTAAATTTTATGAACCGTACCTTGAGTCGTTCTCTTTAGTTGATTTTACCATGCTTCTTCATGGTGAAAGAACTACATCAAAAGATAATCCAAAGCTAATTTCTTGGAGTAATTTGATAAAAGTTTTTTGCATTTCATTTGTCAAGAAGTTTAAAGAGGTTGATCTCATGAATTAGTTGCTAAAAATCAAGCAAAGGACTTTGTCTTTGAATTCATATATTCGCAAGTTAAATGCTCTTTACCTTAATCTCATGGGCACTTATAATGAGTTGCTAAAGGTGCAATGTTTCATCAAAGGTTTGAGCTCAATGGAGGTTAAGAAATATTTTTCAACAACATTAACTAATGCTATCACTAAGGTTTATATCTTTTCACTAAAACTGTCAGTCAACTCAGTCAACAAGATGGTCTACAGGGTAGTCAACTTGATGACCACCTAGCCAACGGAAGAAACGACCATTACTATGTTGTAACTCAAAGAATGAAGACAACAAATTTGGACTAGCAAGAAAAGGATAAAGTAGAGGGTAATTGTTTTCATTGCCACAAGGCTAAACATCAAAACAAGGATTGTCTTGAAGAAGTCAACAAATGCTAAAGTGAATGGGTTGAGATAGATGTAAATGTCTCAATTACTATTAGGGTTGTCTTGCTTCAAGTGACATTGCTATTAGGGCTATCTTGCTTTAAGTTGGGCATCCTCTTACATATATGAGCCACAAATTTAATGTCACATAGTAGAATTAGCTTATTTGAGATAAAGAATTATATGCTATGATTACTACTATGAAGGAATGGCAACTTTATCTATATAGATGGGACTTCCATATAGATTTACACTATCAATCTCTCCAGTATTTTAGTTGTCAAAAGTGTAAGCTCCTGAATTTGACTTCCTGGGAGATCACCTAGTACTACTCAAACCCAAGTATCTAAAAACTTTTAACCGATTGGAAAAGGGGTACACTTTTTTTTATGGACCTTTTCTTTCTATATTTGAACTTTATAAATCATCTCTCAAATTGTTTTCTTTAATTGCTTACAAAAAGGATCTTTGAGGCATACTCATTAGCAAGAAGTCTTATAGGGAATGTCTATTAAAATCTGGTATAAGCATGGAAGTGTCAATAAAGTGGGTAATGTATTATCTAGAATGGTAAATTCTATCTTGTTTTTAAAGTTATCCAACAATCTCTTGGATGAGCTTAAAGAGTTTATTAACTTCAAATATTTGTGTGAAGGTTTTGGGGGAGGGTGGGGGGGTTGTGGGGGGTTCTAAATGTATAGTAGAGATAGTGGGTGGGTAAGTCGGGCATGGCTGACCAACTTGAGGCATAGTCTAGCTTTTGCTTGCGTGCCTGTCCTTGTTCTGCGTTTAACTTGGGTCTAAGCCCAAGTTCCATTCTATGGAGGAGTTCGTATAGTATTATGCTCTCTAATTGTGGGCTTTTGTTGTATATAAGCTTGTGCCATTGCTTTTGCATAACATGGCAAATTATAGCCCATGTCATCAATCCACTTAATATACACAACTATGATGGAATTACTATAATAAGAAATTTATACTTTATTATCACCTGTTATGAAATATCCCAAGAACACCTTCAAATGCACTCTCCTTCTCTAGTGCAAAAACTGCATGCCTAGTCTCTTTAGCCACTAGCACCATCGAACCAAAACCTGCTGTAGCATTAAGCACAATCCCTTTAGGAGGACAAAACAACTCTAGGATCATATCCTAGCAATGCCAAACCTGTATGCTTATTAGTTCGTGTAATACTGTGATGGCAAGAGTAACAGCAGAGAATATGGTAGTTCCATGCTAAAACCTATAATGAAAAGAGGTAATCAATTTAAGATATGAAAAATAGGGAAATGCAAACCTTTTAGATTTGGCAACTTGCTCCTTTTGTTTTGACCGGGATGTTTGAGAGTAGGCAGCCTAATGCAAACTCAACTAATCTAGAGTCATCATTCTCCGCCATCGTTGCAAGAAGACCTCCCCAAAATAAAGAATAGGGAAGAATGACTAGCATAATGCCCTCGTATCGCAACACTTTGGATGCCACATCCAGCACTTGAGGAATATAGTCTGGTTAAAAGAATGTTCCAGGATGGAGTGTCGCTTTGTAAAGGTGGTAACCCATCAGGCAAGTCGAAGAATGTGAGGTTGATGCCGAAAGTATTGTTCATTCCCAATCCTCATATCCATCGATGGAACATAGAAAACTCTCGGCTCACATTGTTGGAAAGCTGAAAATAGTCCCCAATAACTATTTCCACATTACTAACACTTCCCGTAGGAGAAAGAGGGTGAACTTGAATAGTTTTCAAAATCAGGAAATATTAAACTTAATACATGTTTTTTTTCATACTTGTTTATGTGAAGCCAATGAAAATAACTCTTGGAGGTCATCCTCTGTAGCAGTGGGGAGGGATGGAAAAAATGCATTTGTATGTCGGCATATAGAGTGCTAGTTGGTTTCTTTGACATCTACAACCAAATTACAATAAGCAAGGTCATTGGAAATCAAGTTCTTACTCTCTTGGATGTCCTCACTATGGAGTTGCCTTCATACATTTCGAGTAGTTAGGGCTGGACAAGCAATGGTAGTAGGATCTAGGGAATGAGCAACTGTTGTAGGATGAGATAGGGTAAGAGAGTTTTCAGCTAGGTTCTCCACTTCGGTTTGCTCAATATGAATCTCATCCCTGTCTTGAGGCATCTCCATTGCCTCCAAAAGTGCCTCTACAATAAAGTAGAAACATAAGTTACTACTACGAAGTTTTACTCATCAAACCTAGATGACACTCAAGGTAGAGATCAAGATCAAAAGGTGACAATGGCATTTTCCTCCACAACTCCAAGTACCATGGACAAAGTTCTTGCTCCCGCTTAGTGGGACAATGGAACTCTAGTTCATACATACCAAGTTTCTTCCCACCAATTAAGAGCTTGAGAAAAACACTTGCTGTGTACACTAGAGCACCTAAGCAATGATTTAATTACCTACAAAAGAGCCATGATTAAATAAGCAAGTCAATTTCTTGCAATATACCTATATGCCATGTGGCGTGGGAAAAATGGTTGGCTCGGCTAGTTCTTGAAATCCATGGAGCTTGAGCTGCCATCAGGAAGCCATCCATCCCCAAACTCTTGAAGGGAAGCTTGGACATATTTTGGAAGTGTTATGTTGGTGTGGGCACTAGTAAGGAACTTTGTATCCCATGCTTGAAGTAGCTCCTCAGCAGCTGCAATACTTTAAGTGATATAAAGTTTCTCTTTCATCACATTCTCAAGTTTGTTCTCCAACCTCTTATCATTATTACGATGTCAAGTGTTGAGGAGCTCCAAGCAAGAGGTTTGTTTGTTGAAGGAGAGCTTGCTTTTTGCGATGTTATAGATCAATTCTTCAGGTGCTTTACCATTTTCTGCAAGGACAAAGATTTCAAAGTGGAATGAGAAAGATAAAAGGGACTAATTTATTGCCATAAGAGCATATCTTTGCAATGCAATCCAACCAATTTTTATCGCATCAAATGTCCGCAATTGCAAGTAGCTTCTTCACCTTTGATTTCTTCGAGTTCAAAATGCATTGCTTAATTTGTTGTAGTTTAAGGTTCTTTTGCACCTCATCTGTCATTTGCGTAATCTTCAAATATAAATTTTGCTCTACCTTGAGAATTGGCTAAAAGGAAAACTTATGAGTAGAAAACACAAGTTCATGCAAGAAAAGGATACCTTTGCCCAGACCGCAACCAAAAAATCCATAGGCACCTAATACCAAGTAAGCAACTCTTGGCCTTTATGTGCTACAAGCTTTGCTTGAACTGCTTCTATAACCTCACGACTATACAGCATTTGAATTTCCTCGAGAGAAAGAATGCCAACATACCGAAGGTGCTCGATATCATGGACCAAGGTATGTGCTTGGAAAGCAAATTGATTAAGCCTGTAACATAGTTGGTGAGAACAAAAGTTACTAGTAAACGATTTTTATATGTTGATCTTGTGATATGCCAAATTGAGCCTCACAGCTTGGTTTCGATCCTGTGGCTCCACAAGTGTCACTGGAACACAAATATGTCACTCGTCATCGTCCTGAAACTTCTCTTGGATACACCTCTAAAATGCTAGCCACCGATAGTTTCCATCAATAATGAAGAACATCTGGCCTACAAAGGCTTGTGTCTCTTTGTGGCACACCATCAAAGTATCAAACTCCTGAGATTTCCTCTGCCATATTTGATCCCAAGTCTGCTTGATCTGCCCCACCACCTATAGCACCAGATGCCTCATTTTTGCCACCAAGTTCTGCCCCACCACCTATGGCACTACCACCAGCAGCTTCTTGTGTGCTATAGATACCTTTCGCAATTCCATGCTCTCTAGAACCATCTGGCTCTTGCATGTTAACACCTGGATCAGGATCAACGATTACTTGGATCTGGACACCACTGCTCCCCCCGTGGGCTTCCTCTAAAGCAGCACTTTGAACTTGTGAGGTGTCCCTAGTGAATCTAGCACAACGTTCTAGTCATTTTCCTGGAGAACGGGTCCATTGAGGTTGGCTGGCATGCTTCTTCTATTGTGGCATGATTTATATGTTTGCATGAAAATGACAAATAAACTTGAATAAACATTAAAAAAAAAATTGAAGGAAAACAGGAGCAATTTCTTTGGTGCTGGGAAGATCGGTTCATTGCTAAACCAATCTTTTAACACCA